GTCATCAGTTATAAGGCATTCCTATTTCAGATGTTAAAATGTGCAAAGTATGCATCTAGAATTGAAATAATAGCAGATTAGCTTTCATTGGAAATTTTGTATTTGTGTAGGGGATGATTTCATTTATTGGCTGGCTTTTCCATTACACATCTTAGTTATTAGAAACAGGGCTTAAAACAAAACAAAACACCCTGATGTGTGTGAAGCAAATCTATTGTCAAACAAAATACTCCTTTTTGTTTCCTTTTCTCTGTAAGCTCGGAAATGGAAAAAAAAAATTGAGATGTGAAACTGATATTTTGAACCTATTATGAAATATAAATTAAAGGAGTCACAATCTCAGCATCAGCAGTTTGCTGTGACACTATTTATGTGTGATTCATGCGCTTTTCCTGAGATCAGTTCTAGAACATACTTGCTAAAAGAATGAAAAAGACAAATGATAGATTGGATTAATAGCTGTAAGACCATATGTGAAGGGCTACAAGCTTTCATAAGGCATACAAAAGAATTTATAGAAGAGTTAGAAAAAAAAGTAGAAACGTAAAAGTAATGGGAATTTCTGGGGATGATTGTGGTCATGATTACAGGCGTGTAACCTGTGTATTTGTCAAGACTCTTCAAATTACATACTTAAAACCTGTGTTTCGTTGTATGTAAGGTATACCTGAAAAGAGAGAATCCAAGAACAAAAACAGTAAATACATAAGAATATTTGTTATCAAAAAAAGTTACAATTTAAAAAAGCCAAGCGTTGTGCTATCAGAAAAAAGGAGGCAAGTATATTTGATATACAGAGATAAGGAAATGGAAGAAAGAAATAATTGGGAATAACTTTGAATTGGAAGAATAAATAACAGCTATTCAGATGTAGAAATCCTGAAAATTGATAATACAACAGTTAAAATCTGAAAATTAAAATGTACATACAGATATAACACCTGGGAACAATGTTTTATATAATCATTAAAAACAAAATATTAGCAGTTGAGTTGAAGTTTTCAAAGATTGTAAAGGCAAAGACAACCCTGTAAGTCTAGGCTAGGGTTTCCAAACACAGTTTTTAAGGCTTTTCCTCGATGATTGTTTTGATAAACCTGTGATCAGGCCTGGGGTTCTGTATTTTTAACAAGTACCCAGGTTGATGCCTATCAGTTGTATTTGGGAAGTGCTTGACAAGGCAGAGAAAACATAAGAAAAGCCAAGATTATTATTCCAAAAATCGTAATGATAAATTTATTAATGTCCTGTGGCTGCTCTAACAAATTACTACAAATCTGATCACTGAATACAGCAGAAATGTATTCTCTTCACAGTTCTGTAGGCCGGAAGTCCGAAAACAGGATCACTGAACTGAAATCAAGGTGTCAGCAGGGCCATGCTCCCTGGGATTCTAGGGAAGAATTTGTTGCTTGTCCCTTCTGGTTTCTGGTGGCTGCCAGCAAACCTTAGCTTGTGGCTGGATCACTCTAATCTCTGCATCCATAGTCCTGTTGCCCTCCCCTTTGTCTGTGTCTAATCTCTTTGCACCTCTTATAAGGATATCTGTAACTGCATTTAAGGCCCATTTGGGAAATCCAGGATAATCTCCCCATCTCAAGATCCTTAATTTAATCACACCTGCAGAGCCTTTTTTTTTTTTTTTTTTTTTTTTTTTTTTTTGACCATATAAGGTAATGTCCACAGGTTCCAGATATTTTGATGTGCATGTTTTGGGGGGAGCCATTATTCACTCTACCACAATAAGCATCTTAAAAGTGTCCTGATTGTGAGTAAAGAGAAAAAAGGAAGCACTTCTTTTTTTTTTCCTTTTAATGTTTGTTTATTTATTTGTTTATTTGAGAGAGAAACCCCAAGCAGGCTCCACACTGTCAGCCCAGAGCCAAATGTGGGGCTCAGTACCACTCAATAAACCATGAAATCATGACCTGAGCTGAAATCAAGAGTCAGATGCTTAACTGACTAAGCCACCCAGGTGTCCCTCCAGGCAACTCTTAATTTCATTTCTTTTATCAGACAATGGGTTACATATAGCATTGAGTACAATAACAAATTTTTAAATAACTTATGTAAGTTTATAGTATAAACTTTAAAAAAGATGATTACTGATGAAATTTAACTTAATATAAACTTAAGTTACCTATAAAGTTTTTACTAAAGGCCATCAGAGATAGTACTACATAATTTAAGTGGTTTTTTTTTTAAGTTTATTTATTTATTTTGAGAGAGAGAGGATCTCAAGCAGGTTCTGAGCTTTCAGCACAATCTCCCAAACCATGAGATCATGACCTGAGCTGAAATCAAGAGTAGGGCACTTAACCAACAGAGCCATTCAGGTACCCCAGTACCATGTAATTTATTTTTTTCTTAAAAATGTTTTTGATGTTTATTTTTGAAAGAGCACGAGCAGGGGAGGGGCAGAGTGAGAGAGAGACAGAGAGAGAGAGAATTCAAAGCAGGCTCAACATGGGGTTTGAACTCATGAACCACGAGATCATGACCTAAACTAAAGTTGGACGCTCAACCGACTGAGCCACCAAGGCACCCCTGTAATGGTCTTTATCTTTTAAAAACAGGTCTACTCAATCTAGAACCAATAGTACAGAAGTGAAATGTTACTTTTGTTCATTACTAATGGAAGTTAAACAACTATTTAATGAAAAAATTCCTAAAATTAATATTTTAATAGATCATGGGATTTCCATTTTAAGGGGGCTCCCCACCATTTGTAAAAGTAATGCATGCATATTGTGGACAATTGGGACAATGAAGGAATATATAAAGAATCCATTGATGGTCACATTTTGTTATATTTCCTATAAGCCTTTTATGTATGCATTTTTTTTAAGTTTACTTATTTTGAGAGAGAAAGAGAAAAATGCGAGCGAGGGAGGGGCAGAGAGAGAGGGACAGAAAGAATCCCAAGCAGGCTCCATGCTGTCAGCATAGAGCCCGATGCAGGGCTCGATCTCACAAACCGTGAAACTATGACCTGAGCTGAAATCAAGAGTCGGACACCGACTGAGCTACCTAGGTGCCCCTGCACTTTTAAATATATGACTGAGGTCATAAACAATTCTGTTTCCAGCATTTTTTTCCTTTTACATTGTGATTAAAATTTGAAATGCTGATGATTAGGTGAGATTCCCAAAGTAAGACCTGGGTTTTACAATTGGAGTATTTGAAGCAGGCTGGGTAGTTAATTAGACTTTAAATATTTAAATATCTTTGCAGCTGGCTAAGACTTTATTTTCATCTTTTAGTGTGTTTGATTTTTTTTAAAGGTTTCCAAATTAGTCAAACATTTTAGAATGCATATTTGTTTAAAGGGGAAGAATATAGATGAAATTTAAGAATTATAAATATGGTAAGAATTAGAGGGATGCCTGGCTGGCTCAGTCAGAGCATGTGACTCTTGATCTTGGGATTGTGAGTTGGAGCCCCACGTTGGTGATAGAGTTTACTTTAAAGAAAAAAGGTGGGGGGGGGGGTGCCTGGATGGCTCAGTTGGTTAAGATTTTAGTTCAGGTCATGATCTCACAGTTCATGAGTTTGAGCCACGTGTCAGGCTCCTCCCCCGCTCAAGTGTACACGAGGTCTCTCTCTCAAAATAAATAAACTTAAAAAAAAGAATTATAGAGAAGTCTTCTCATAGACAAGTAAATGGAAGCACTACATAGAGAACGTATTCAATCATTTAAATATATTAAAGCTTGTAGAGTAAAATGTGAGCTTTAATTCCTACACAGGAGGTAGTTATTGAGTATTATGTTGCCATTTTTAGCACTATAAATATGTTATATGTAATATATTTAATAGTTTCATTGTAAATTCCTGAACTAAAATAAGCAGTAGAGTTAAAATTATTAGCCTTTTCATTATTTTTCTTGTTCTAAAAGGTAGATACTTTCCTTAATTTTAGGATACTTGAATGTTAATGAACCATCTTCTTGGAAAATAGTTTATTTTATGTATTTATTTCTTTCAAACAAAAGGTCCTGCATATTTATTACTGAATCACCTTACTGGTGCAGAAGCATAGTAACAGAGAAGAATCATTTTTCTAGTAAAACATGTTTATTGTTGAGGTGGTAGTGATGTTTACACAGTGATAGAATACAAGTATGTAACCTTCATGCAGCATAAATATATATGCCATCTCATGTGCTATCCATTCTAGACCAGCTTGGTTCTTCTCCAGTGCCTCCTCTTGGAGTTGTACCTGATTTTATTACCAGTTTTCATCCGAATTCACTGGGGAATGGGATGATTCTGCTTTTGTTTCTTGGCCACGTTTTTGTTTGTTTGTTTGTTTGTTTTAATCTTTATTTATTTTTGAGAGAAAGAGAGACAGAATGTGAATGGGGGAGGGGCAGAGAGAGAGGGAGACAACAGAATCCGAAGCAGGCTCCAGGCTCCAAGCTGTCAGCACAGAGCCCGACGTGGGGCTCGAACTCACGAAACGTGAGATCATGACCTGAGACGAAGTCGGACACTTAACCGACTGAGCCACCCAGGCGCCCCTGTTTCTTGGCCACATTTTAAGCGTGATTCTGCAAGTCTTGTGAGAAGACCCAAATCAGAGTATATTAATGTGCAGAGATGGGATTCAAACCCAGGTCATCCAAGCTCCTAGGCTAGGGTACCTTCCAGACTTCCCTGCTGCTACCCATGGTAAGAAGCAGTTAACTTCACACACCACAATGGCAGAGAAGAGGAGAGAGAAAAAATAGTTTACTTTTTGAGTGAAAATATAATGAATAATGGTTATCCCATTGACTCATACAAAGCATAGTTGAATACTATAGAATGAAAAATTAAGATAATAACATACCCAAATAACCTGCCCTTCAAAATATGTATGTAGTTCTAATGAACTTGAGTACTTTTTTAGATTTAAGATTATTTTGTTTTGTTTTTGCATTGTGTTAATGTCTGAGAAAAGAATGAGATTCTATAAATGCCCATAGGATTTTTATTAAGGTGTTATCTTTTTCTAGCTTAAAGCAATAAATGTAGATCTTCAAAGTGATGCTGCTCTGCAAGTGGACATTTCCGATGCTCTGAGTGAGAGAGATAAAGTAAAATTCACTGTTCACACAAAGGTAAATGTGATTTTGTACTTGTACTATTTTAGCTATTTATTGTGCAGATGTTATATATGTGATAATATATTGACTGGAACTTTGGTTTTGAACATAATTAGAAGTAAACTATATTTTAGTTTATAAGCTACTGCTTTTATTGTAACAGTTTTAAGGAAATGTACTTGTTAAATTTTTTTTTAATTTTTTAAGTTTATTTATTAGAGAGTATCCGTGAGGGAGGGAGGGAGGGGCAGAGAAAGAGGGAGAGAGAGAGAATCCCAAGCAGGCTTCGGGCACGCAGGGCTCCATCCCACAAATTGTGAGATCATGACCTGAGCCAAAGTCAGGAGTTAGACCCTTAACCAACTGAGCCATCCAGGTGCCCCAGGGAAATGTACTTTTTTTTAAAAATGCACTTTTTAAAGACTAACATTTACAAATTACTCACAAAACCTAGGTGTAATGCAGATTTAATTTTCTCTAGACTTCTATTAATATCTTTCATCATTCTTGTTTTCAATTTTGTTTTGTTCTTTTAGTTAATTAAATTACTGTCTTACAAATTATTTTCTTCTTGGATTTCAGTTTTTAGGCATATTTTCAGACTGTAGATCTATTTTTCTTTGAATAGTTGAGTTTGATATATATTAGTAAGACAACTTTTAAATGGTGGTAGCAGTATAGTATAATAAGTCTGTCAAATTATTTTCTTAAACATCTCAAGATAATTTTGTCTGATGTCTCCGAGTTTTCATAATCGAGTTTAAAAGTGCTGATGATCTTTCGCATGAGACTAATTTACAAAAATAAGATAAAAAATATTTACTAAAAGCCTTTTAGTGCAATTTTGATTTTTATTCAAGAGAATCTCTGTCTTTGCAGAGTTCGTTGCCAAATTTTAAACAAAATGAGTTTTCTGTTGTTCGACAACATGAGGAATTTATCTGGCTTCATGATTCCTTCGTTGAAAATGAAGACTATGCAGGTTATATTGTGAGTATTGGGGTTCCATTTTAATCCCATTTTCTAGGAGCTTTTTAGGTACTTTATTATGTGTTAAATTTTTAGTGAACTGGTGTAATTTTTTTAAATTGCCAATTAGAAAACACAATGTACGATCACCTTTTATCCTAAATTGCCTAGTTTGAAAGTGTGGAGATATGGCTATGTTATGCTCCTTCATTTAAATTTAAATTCTTATTGTTTACTGGAAGTGAAATGGGTTTTTCCTAGGGATTAATCAAGGGGATGTTACAAACCATACTGGTTTTGAACACTTAGGTAGATAAATACTTAGAGTTGGAGGTACCTTAAGAAGTCATCTAATCTAAGTATGTACCAGATGTTGTGCCTTAGCCATTGTCCACACTCAGATTCCTGAAATTTAGTTTCATTTGATATCCTTGAAATTATCCTGACTTGATTCTTTCTCCATCCTTGTGGCTACTCCTTCTCAGTCATTTGCTTTTTCTTTGTGTAACTCAAAATTTGGTTGACCACTGGCCGTACATTTTTTTCCTTTTTTCTTTAAAAAAAATTACCAGTTTATATAAAGGATACAACCAGACAGCCCAAAGGAAGAGATGCATAGGACAAGGTACAGGGATCGGGGTTGGGGCATAACTTTCATGCCCTCTCCAGGTATACCACCTTCCACCTCCATAGCATGTCAGTGTGTTCACCAAACTGGAAACTCTTTCTTCTCTTCCCATCTTATTTCCACCTTTTCTTCCTCATCTTGTCTAATGGCATTTTCTTACTACAATTTCCTTCTATAGACTAAACACTCCTCAAAGATCAAGACCATCTTTGCTTGTTTTTTTTAAGATTTTTTTATTACACTATATGTTAACTAACTTGGATGTAAATCTTAAAAAATAATAAAGATAAGTAAAAAAATACTTAATCACATATAAAAAAAGTTTGTTGTTTTTTTGTTTTTTTGTTTTTTTTTTCAAATTATTTTAGCTAGCAGGAACAGGGAAGAGGGGCAGAGAGAGAGAGAGAATCTTAAGCAGAGTCTATGCTCAGCACAGAGCCTGACACAGCGCTTGACCCCATCACACTGAGATCATGACCTGAGCCAAAATCAAGAGCCAGATGCTCAACCAATTCAGCCATCCAGGACCCAGGCACCCTAAGGTAGATAGATAGATAGATAGATAGATAGATAGATAGATAGATAGATAATTAATTACTTATTTTCGAGAGAATGCAGGTGGGGGAGGAGCAGGGAGAGGGGGACAGAGGATCTGAAGGGAGCTCTGTGCTGACAGGCTGACAGCAGCAAGTCCGACGTGGGGCTCAAACTCACGAATCTTGAGATCATGACCTGAGCCAAAGTCGGATGCTCAACCGACTGAGCCACCCAGGTGCCCCTATTTATTTATTTTTAGTGTTTATTTATTTTGAGAGAGAGAACATACATATGAGAAAGGGAGGGGCAGAGAGAGAGGTAGAGAGAATCTTAAGCCGGCTCCATGCTCAGGAGCCCAGCGAGGAGCTCAGTCTCACAGCTGCAAGATCACAATCTGAGCCAATATCAAGAGTCAGACGTTTGACTGAGCCACCAGGCCCCTGCTCCAAGATTTTATTTTTAAGTGATCTCTACACCCAGCATGGGGCTTGAACTCACAACCCTAAGATTAGGAGTCGCATACTCTACCAACTGTGTCAGCCAGGCACCCAAGACCATGTCTTGTTTATCTTTATATGCACATTGTTCAGTATCATGCCTGGTGCATAGTAGATGTGAATATGTGCTTAGCTGTACTTGATGCTTCCTTCCCTATTGCTTTCCTCAAGCGTAACTCTTTTCTTGTATTCATTCTTTAACTTTTCCTCTACTTATCTTTTCTTCTTGCTTTCTTTGCTTCCCATCATTTTCCCTTAACAATTCTTATTTGTAAGCCCTTCCTTTTAAGGTAAACTTTTTTCTTCTATCCTTCCCTTGAAAGATATGTCTCTTCTAGATACTATATTTTTACTTAAGATAAGTATTTACTCACCCCCTTACTGTGAGTGAATGGAATGAGGTTAGTCATTAATCTCTGTTTTGTTGTCTTGGTTTTAAGTCCGTGCTCTATGCTTCTGGTGCACTCCTCCAGTTAAGGAACCCTTTTTAACATCCCTTGCTGGATTGTACTGTTGGCATCCATGAATTTAAGAAACATGGAATAGCATAAAGCTACTATGAATTCATTAATTTAAAAATATATGTTTGTATTTGATCAAACTATTTACATACTTCTGAAAATTGGTATGCATATTAATTTAGTGTATAGTCAGAGCTTAATGTGTTTATACATTTGAAGACTCTAGGTTGCCACATAGGAATCTGCAGATTAAAGTTTGGGAACTACTGTTCTAATACTAGAAAATAGTGCTCTGCCATATTTCTTCCTTGTGCAAAGGACCTAATCAAATTTTCTAACCTGAATTGAGATATTCCTGGTGCCATGTTCATTCAAGATGTCTTTAGCTCTCCCAGACACAGTCTTTTATGGTAGCAGTAGTACAGTTGCTGTGAAAACTAAAAGTCTTTAAAATTAGTGATTTGGTTTTCTTACAGATCCCACCAGCACCACCAAGACCTGACTTCGATGCTTCAAGGGAAAAACTACAGAAGCTTGGAGAAGGAGAAGGGTCCATGACAAAGGAAGAATTCACAAAGATGAAACAGGAACTGGAAGCGTATGTGATTTTTGTTGTTGGTTTTGTTAATTGTGCTTATTTTAATGCCTTTTTTCTGTGCTCTCTGATATCCCATCCTTTTAATCATTTCACCACAGTGACCCTTTCTGAAAGATGCAGGTTTAAGCCAAACAACCAGTTTTAATGATCATGATCAGAGCCTACAGGAAAATTATAGAATAATTGCCTACATTGTAAAATTCTTTAAATTCATGTTTTAAATAGACTCTGAAAATTGAAAATGGGGGGTCCAAAACTTTATTTAAAAATAGTAGAAAGGGAAATAAGACTTTTTGAAGCAGAATATAAGTTGTTTTGGTTTTTATCTACAAGGCCTTAGTCATTGCCAACCTGGTTTTCTTTTTTCGATGTGTGCATACTACCCAAACTTCTGTTTTCTGTTTCTCATAGAAATATGCACCGAGCAACTCTGCACATACTCTGTTTTCTTTTTTAAAAAGTGTGTGTGTGTGTGTGTGTACGCATGTGTGTGCACGCGTGCACCTGTCTAAATGGCTGTGTCTGTGTTTAATTTTTGCCCTCTTTCTTTCTGCCTATGGCTTCTGGCTAAGGGGAAAAGAATAGGAGCAAAGTAAAAGGAGAATAGTTTTAAAATGTTTTTCATTAAATGATTATTAGTTTCACATATACTAGAAATGCATTAAATCTTTGAAAAAACTGGAGATAACTTCTGTTTTGCGTTTAGCATATTTGCTGAAAATGCAGAATCTTTCCCTCTTATTAGACATTTGAAGTAATTTTAGATTTACAGGATATTGTTTTCTGTATTTTGAGAGCAGTACAAGTAAACACTTTCCCTTGTATCATCATCACCTCCATCACTCTTTTTCTGATCATTTCTCCTCTTCATTCATTTCCTTTTCTCCTCTTCCACTTAGTTTCAGTTTTTAAGCATATATGCACCTGGCTACTAGACTCCTCTTCAGAATGCTAAACTCGTTTGACAAGATAAATTAGCAAAGTAGATCTTTTTTGTCAAAGTGTAAGGTGACATATTTTAAGATTTTTGTCCATGCTGGGTGCAAGCAATAGTCTGAGAGACAGAGATACATACTTTTATAGTTATAAGACTGAAAACTGGAAATTAGCAGAGCACATTAATATTAAAGAATCTGTGGTTTTCCAGTGGCCCTGATCATGATTCTTTTGTGGTCTGGTTAGGGGTTGGATAACAGAGAACCTTGGGTTTATTCTACTGCTACCTCCATCCTCTGCATCCTTCTTTTTTGTCTTCACTGAATGACTACCCTCACAGAGATCAAACTTCTCCCAACATTGGTCCTGCTGGTTTGCTGGTATGTAAAATTTATCCTCCTTGCACGTAGTTGAAGCAAGAATATTGGGCCTTTTCCTTGAGTGTTTCTTTTTTCAAACTGACGTATATTACTATATGATCACTGTGATTCACTGATGAAATTAAAATATTTTAAACATAATTTTCCAATGTAATGACAAAAATTAGTCTCTCTGTGGTGTGCTTTTTTTCTTGTGTGTTTGGGTCATTAGATGAAAATAATTATTAATGTTGAAAATATGCTTACTGAGGTTTGAGTTTAGATTTTTTTTTTTTGTACACAGGTATTTAAAAGCAGTAATTATCGAGAAATTGATCCATAAAGATTGTATCAAATAATTTGTAGTGTACTTTCTCTGGAGCTGAAAACAAACACCCCTATAGTTATCTTTAACATCAACTTGCATAGGAAGAAAAGTTCATAAAACTTAAAAATATTAACATTTAAATATAATAAATACTATTAACTAGCATGAAGTCTTTTCAGAGCTGGATTTTATACATTTTATTAACAGTTCAACTAAAACCTTTATTTACATGGATTATATATTTGTATCTTTAATTTTGCATTTAGAATAATTTGGAGTATTTGTTGAAAACTGTTACGGACTATTTTCTAGTTGATGCAGTGTTTTACCTTTAATTATGTGTATTGTTTCTAGTGAATATTTGGCAATATTCAAGAAGACTGTTGCAATGCATGAAGTGTTCCTATGTCGTGTGGCAGCACATCCTATTTTGAGAAAAGACTTAAATTTCCATGTCTTCTTGGAATATAATCAAGATGTGAGTATTGATTAAAGCAGTAATCAAGGTTTATTTTTAGAGTCACTGTAAAAGGCAGGGAGTAGTTAGAAAAAACCCTTTTTTTGTAATGTTCTTATTTTTCAAGGTAGTGTAAAATGACATTTTTTTTTAGTGGTAATAGAGTATTTCAATACAACTAGAGAAGAAATGAAGAAATTGAAGAAATGAGGCTAAATCATGTTACTGCATGGGACATTGATTTTCATCCTGAATTGTGAACCTCTTAAGAAATAGGATTATCAACTTGATTGTTTCCTAAATTTGAGTTTGAAGTTTTCTGAAATTCCAGGGAGGTGCTTGAGCTAAAGAATTCTAGATTACTTTAGGGTTAATCATTGCCTTTTGATCTGTTTAACTGACCTTTTTCAGTGCCAGTTGCTCCTACTCTTCCTCCTTCCCTGCCTGAAAACTCTGTTACAGTGCAAATAGAAAAATTGATGTGGTTGAGCTTTAAAGATTTCTTCATTCATAGTACTGGCAAAAATTTTTTTTAATGGATAGGTGATACAGATCTTGGGATTTATTTTTGAATGACAAGATTAACTCATAATTTTAGCAGAAAACAAATGTAGCATAGTGCTTATTTGCTTATAAGTTGACATCAAGATCAAAGAATTTTATGTATATAAATTTGCCCTTCTGGTTTGGTTTTAGTAGACATGACAATAAAATATCTTAAGTCTAGCAATAGAGAGAACACATTTTTTTGAAAGGGTATGAAGTAACTCAGGATCACAGAAACAGCATTTTAAGCCTGGATACTTCCACAAGTGTAAATATGGTATGTGATACTGGCATGTGGTCATTTACAACTAGGAACTGTAAAAAATTCTGGCTATGTCATGAATTATAAGAAGCTGAAAATAACTTGTGACTGGGTTGCCAAAGAACACATGATAGAATGCTGTCATCACTTTTTTTACTTTTATGTGTTTGTTTTTGCTTAACCTTATTCATGGCCTTGGCCAAAACCTTAATAATAATTGGTAGAGCAGCTTAAGCATACAGTGAGTATTATCAGTGCAAGGCCACTTGAGCTAGAGGAGCCTCATGCTCTGTGTACTCTGTCCCATTGCCAAATCCCTTAGTACTATCTGAAATTATATGTCTGTATTTTAAATTTTTATGTATTTATTATCTGTCCTCTCTACTAAAATGTAAGCTCTCTGAAAGCAAGGCTTGAATTTTACACCATTGTATCCTCACTGCTTTAGAATAATGGCTGACAATTAAGATGTAAAATAAGTATTTGTTAAAATGATAAGTGAAAGATTATTGATTGTTTTCCAGTTGTGGTGGTGGTTTTTTAACTTTTTTTTTTTTAATTTAAATTTTATAGTTAACATACAGTGCAATATTGGTTTCAGGAGTAGAATTCAGTGATTTATCACTTACGTACAACACCCAGTGCTCATCCCAACAAGTGCCCTCCTTAGTACCTATCACTCATCTAGCCCATCTCCCACCCACCTCCCTCTGTCAACCCAGTTTGTTCTCTGTCATTAAGAGTCTCTTGTGGTTTGTTTCCCTCACTTTTCTTTCCCCCCTCTTCCCATATGTTCATCTGTTTTGTTTCTTATATTTCACATAGAAGCGAAATCATATGGGATTTGTCATTCTCTGGTTGACTTATTTCACTTAACATAATATATGCTAGCTCCGTCCACATCATTGCAAATGGCCAGATTTCATTCTTTTTGATGCTGAGTAGTATTCCATTGTATATATGTACCACATCTTCTTTATCCATTCATAAATTGATGGACATTTGGGCTCTCTCCATAGTTTGGCTGTTGTTGATAATGCTATAAACATTGGGGTGCAGGTACCCCTTCGAATCTGTATTTTTGTATCCTTTGGGTAAATACCTAATAGTGCAATTGCTGGATCATAGGGTAGTTCTATTTTTAGTTTCTTGAGGGACCTCCATACTATTCTCCAGAGTGACTGCACCAGTTTGCATTCCCACCAACAGTGCAAGAGCATTTCCCCCTTTCTCTGCATGCTTGCCAACACTTGCTGTTTCTTATGTTGTTAATTTTAGCCATTCTGACAGGTGTAAAGTGGTATTTTATCATGCTTTTGATTTGTATTTCCCTGATGATAAGTGATGGCGATCATCTTTTATATGTCTGTTAGCCATCTGGATGTCTTCTTTGGAAAAGTGTCTGTTCATGTCTTCTGCCCATTTCCTCACTAGATTATTTGTTTTTTGGGTGTTGAATTTGGTAAGTTCTTTATGGATTTTGGATACTAAGCCTTTATCTGATATGTCATTTGCAGATATCTTCTCCCATTCTGTAGGCTATCTTTTAGTTTTGTTGGTTGTTTCCTTTGCTGTGCAGGAGCCTTTTAAGTTTATTTTTGAAAGAGAGAGAAAACATCAGCAGGGGAGGGGCAGAAAGAGAAGGGGAGATTGAATCCCAAGCAGGCTCCACACTCAGCATAGAGCCCCATGCAGGGCTCGATCCAACCATCAGATCAGGACCTGAGCTGAAATCAAGGGTCTGACACTTAACCGACTGAGCCACCTAGGTGCCCCAGAAGCTTTTTATTTAAGGAAGTCCCAATAGTTCATGTTTGCTTTTGTTTTCCTTAACTTTGGCAATGTGTCTAGTAAGAAGTTGCTCTGGCCAAGGTCAGAGAAGTTGCTGCCTGTGTTTTATTCTAGGAATTTGATGGTTTCCTATCGCACATTTAGGTCTTTCATCCATTTTGAATTTATTTTTGTGTATGGTGTAATTTATTTTTGTGTATGGTGTAATAAAGTGGTCCAGTGGTGTAATAAACATGGTCTGCATGTTGCTGTCCACTTTTCCCAACACCATTTGTTGAAGAAACTTTTTTTCATTGGATTTCTTTCCTGCTTTGTCGAAGATTAGTTGACCGTATAGTTGTGGGTCCATTTCTGGGTTTTCTATTCTGTTCCACTGATCTATGTATCTGTTTCTGTGCCAGTACCATACTGTCTCGATGACTACAGTTTTGTAATATAGTTTCAAATCTGGAATCGTGATGCCTCCAGTTTTGTTTTTCTTTTTTGGATTGCTTTGGCTATTCAGGGTCTTTTGTGGTCCCATACAGATTTTAGGATTGTTTGTTCTAGCTCTGAGAAAAATGCTGGTGGTATTTTGATAGGGATTGCATTAAATGTGTGGATTGCTTTGGGTAGTATTGACATTTTAACGTTTGTTCTTCCAATCCATGAGCATGGAATGCTCTTCCATTTGTTAGTGTCCTCTTCAATTTCTGTCATAAGTGTTTTATAGTTTTCAGAGTACAGATCTTTTACCTCTTTAGTTAGGTTTATTTTCCTAGGTACGTTTTTGGTGCAGTTCCAAATGGAATCAATCCCTTGATTTCTTTTTCTGCTGCTTCGTTATCAATGTATAAAAATGCAACAGATTTCTGCATGTTGATTTTATGTCTTGTGACTTTGCTGAATTCATGTATTAGTTCTAGCAATTTTTTGGTGGAGTCTTTTGGATTTTCTACATAGAGTATCATGTGAAAGTTTGACTTCCTCCTTGCTGATTTGGGTGCCTTTTCTTTTTGTTGTCTGACTGCGGAGATTAAGACTTCCAATAATGTGTTAAATAGTAGTGATGAGAATGGGTATCCTTGTCTTGTTCCTGACTATAAAGGAAAGGCTTTCAGCTTTTCCCCATTGAGGAGGATATTAACTATGGGTCTTTCATATATGGTTATGATGTTGAGATATATTCCATCTATCCCTACATTGTTGAGGGTTTTTATTAAGAATGGATGCTGTATTTTGTCAAATGGATTATTGATTGTTTAGATCAGATTTATAAATAGCTTTGGAAAAAAATTAAGGTTTCATAAATTTTCTCCCTTCAATATAGATTTCTTTTTCTTCCTCCCACTAATATATGCTTAATAGAGATAATGATGTCATGCATTATAATAACCCTTTTAATACCAGCACATGGTATTTTGGAGAAACTCTAAAAAGACAGGAAAGTGGTTTGCAAATATTTTTTAATCATTAATTAATAGCAAGTATATTAACAGGTTATAGAAGATTATAGGCCCCAGGGCACCTGGGTGGCTCAGTCAGTTAAGTAAGATCAGGTCATGATCTCACAGTTTATGAGTTTGAGCCCAGGATTGGGTTCTCTATCAGTGCAGAGCCTGCTTCAGATCCTCTGTCCCCATCTCTGCCCCTCCTCCGCTTGTGCTCCCTCCCTCTTTCAAAAATAAACAAACATTAAAAAAAAAGAAGGGACACCTGAGTGACTCAGTCGGTTGGGTGTGTGACTTCAGCTCAGGTCATGATCTCATGGTCCGTGAGTTTGAGCCCCGTGTCGGGCTCTGTGCTGACAGCTCAGAGCCTGAAGCCTGCTTCAGATTCTGTGTCTCCTTCTCTCTCTGCTCCTTCCCCACTCACACACTATCTTTCTCTGTCTCTTAAAAATAAATAAGTGTTAAAAATTAAAAAGAAGAAGAAGAAGAAGAAAAGGTATGCCTGGGTGGCTCAGTTGGTTAAGCATTTGACTCAGTTTCAGCTCAGGTCATGATCTCATGGTTGGTGGGTTCTAGCCACGCATGAGGCTCTGTGCTGACAGCATGGAGCCTGTTTGTGATTCTCTCTCCCTCTCTCTGTGCCCCTCCCCTGCTCTCTCATTCCGTCTCTCTCGAAATATAAACTAATACAAAAAAAGTTTTTTAAAAAGAAGGAGATTATAGGCCCAAAACTAAGAGGTTTTTCTCAATGTTGTTCTAATGCTGTTTCATGGATCTTTACATACTTCAGTGGGGCAGGAAAAGCAATCTGCATGTGCTGTTTTGTTTTCTAAGTTTCAGAGAGCCATGGGACTGATAAGTTGCTGAAGTAGAGCTAGGGTGTCTTAAAGTCTAAAGAGGCCATCAGGCAGCTGGGAGGCCTAGAAAAGCTTATTCTAGCATTGAGTTGTTTGAGAAATAGTTGCTGTTGTAAGGAATGATTGCCTTTAATGTTCAGTGCCTTACTTAAGTAGTTGTATACCTTCTCTGTTTCTACTATAGTCTGAGTCTACTTAAGAGTAGAGTAAATATATAACCTCTTCAACACCCTAATGTCCATTCAGTTCTTGCTGCCTTATCAGTGGACATAACCCAGGACCCTGCCTCATATCTGAGTTCTTAAGCCCTAGTATTAATAGACTCCAAACATAGACAGCTCTGTTTTTCCCTATTCATATTTTGATTGTTCTTTGATTCTGGTACATCTAGACACTTGATCTCTTCTGTATTTTGACCCTGTTAGCAGCCCTTTTGTCTTTACTTTGTTCTCATGTAGCCTAGATTGCCTGCTCCATCATTTATAACAAGGTTATATATGACTTCAAACAGCTCTCTCCCATTTTCCATAAAAGCTAATTTCAACTTGCAGCAGTTCCTCCTTGATGTAGAATGACCTTGTTCGCTAGGAAATACAAGCCAATCAGAGATCAAATCCCACAACTCCACGTGTCTCCCACAACCCTCATCTGCCTTGGCAGCCACATGCATATATTAGCTTTTTTTTTTTTTTTTTTTTTTTTTTTTTTCTTTTTTTTCTTCCTTTCCAATCTGGACAACTTTTAATTTCTTTTGCTTGCCTAACTTCCCTGGCTAGAATCTCCAGTACAATGTAAAATAGAAATGACAAGAGCAGACATCCTTGTTTTGTCTATGATCTTGGGAGGAAAGCATTCACTATTTCATTATTAAGTATGATGTTAACTGTGGGGTTTTCATTGATGCTCTTGATCAAGTTGAAGAAGTTCCCTTCTATTCCTAGTTTGTTGAGTGTTTTTATTATGAAAAAGTATAGCTATTGAGATGATAATGTGGTTTTGTCCTTTATTCTACTAATATAGTATATTACATTGTGCCTTTCCACTTTGACAAAGGAATCTTTCTAGCTATCCTGGATCCCATGTACTTCTGGATCTTTGGGATCTGTTCTGAGTTTCCTTCTTAACTCTGTGGCTCCTTCTTAGTGTCCTTTGTGAGCTTTTTCCTCCATATATCCATTCATTTAAATAGGATCCTTCCAAGGTTCCTCACTGATTTCTCCAGAAATTTAGAAGTTCCTTTAGACTTCTAACTCTAAATTCTCCTGAAGTGATCTCATTGACTCCTATGGCTGCAGGTACTTTTATATCTATTAACTTATAAATCTGTATCACTTGTTTGAGCTCTTCTTTAAATGCAGGTCTTCTTTTATGTTCTCTGTCTCAAAGAAGATACCAGCACCTTCCAATTTCTTAAGACCTAAAAATTACTCATGACTTTACTCCCTATTCCTTTTTTTTTTTTTCTTAAGTAGGCTCCATGCTGAGGCCTGAACTCAGACCCGGAGATCAAGACCTGAGCTGAGATCAAGAGTTGGACAGTTAATTCACTGAGCCACTCAGGCATCCCCCTGCTCCCTATTCCTATTAGGAAACACCAAATCCTGTCTGTTCTACTCTCTTACTATATTAGGGATGTGTCTACTTCCTTCTATCACCAGACCTAAAGATTAGTTCTGACCTTTATAACCCTTGATTGGGTTATTGAAACAGCCTCTGACTGGTCTTTCAACCTCCAGTCTTACCTTTCTCATTTTCTAAGTCTGTATTAAGTTCCCTTGGTGTTCTCGAAGTGCCGTATGGATTCCTCTAACATTGTACTGCTCACCCTATGTTTAATCATATGTTTCTCTGGATTCTCCTCTGCACCATAAATTACTCTTATAGAGTATGGACCACCTCTTAATCATCCTTATTTTCTGAACACCTAGCACAGTGCGTGATTGTAATATACATTTGTCAATAGTTTTTTAAATAAGTGAATTAGTTAATATAAGAACACAGTTTTGAAAAACACCCAGAGTGCATTCAGAGGCCTAAAGATACAGCAGTTTAGAAAGGTTTCATGAAGAGAATGTGTTTTAATTTCGATGTTTAATGAAGTCTGAATAGAATTTTTGGTGGGAAGAGAGATACTATTTCAGGTACAGGGGAACCTAAGCATTTAGAGCTTCTTTTGAGAACTATTTGGAACATAAGGTTCTGTGGGGGTTTGGTGGTGAGTACAAAGGTAAATTGAACCAGATTGTTGAAAGTCTTGAATACCATGCCTAGGGGATTGGCTTTTATTCTCTGAACATTGTGAAACTCTATAAAGTTATTGAGTAGGGAGGAGATGCTCAAAATTTAATTTTGGAAGTCCTCATCAGAATGGATTGGATTGAAGAAATGAGAGATGTTAACTAGTAGTCCAGTGTGGTAGTTAAGCAAGAAATAATGAGGATTTTTACTAGGACAGTGAGAAAGGAAAGGGACAAATTTCAGACATTTGATGGTAGAATTTGAGCTTTGAGAGACAAAAAGAAGTTGTAGATTATTTCAAGATTTTTAATGAGTGGTATGGGGTTTTAGGGAACATGTGGGAATCTGAGAGATTGGTTGGATGGAGGGACCATGAAGGAGGGACCATGAATAGGGAGAACCAAGAAAAGGAAAGTTTTGGAGATTAGATTATAATGAATACTGCTTTAGTCTAATGTGAGGTTAGCAGAATTTCCATTTATAAGGATATGATCTAGGCAAATGGAAATAGAATCTAAGATTCAGGAAAGAGCTTAGTGGTAGTGATCATGATTTGTGAATCATTTATATAATGGTGAGCATTGAAACCGTGGTAGTAGATAAGGAAATTAGATGGGCTATTCCTTTATGGGACACCCTGGTGCAGCAAGTGGTAAATAATAATGAAAGAGGCATTACTTTCCATATGTAATCTAAAAAAGAAAAAAATTGCCAACTTAAGTTTACCTTTCTTTCAGCTGAGTGTGAGAGGAAAAAATAAAAAAGAGAAACTTGAAGATTTCTTTAAAAACATGGTTAAATCAGCAGATGGAGTAATTGTTTCAGGAGTAAAGGTAAGATTTTATTTGATTAACAGAGGTATTGGTTTAAGAATCCACTTATTTTAAGAAGATAGAGATTTCTGGGGCGCCTGGGTGGCGCAGTCGGTTGGGCGTCCGACTTCAGCCAGGTCACCATCTCGCGCTCCGTGAGTTCGAGCCCTGCGTCGGGCTCTGGGCTGATGGCTCAGAGCCTGGAGCCTGTTTCCGATTCTGTGTCTCCCTCTCTCTCTGCCCCTCCCCCGTTCATGCTCTGTCTCTCTCTGTCCCCCAAAAAATAAATAAACGTTGGAAAAAAAAAATTAAAAAAAAAAAAGAAGATAGAGATTTCAGATGTGCAGGTGACCATTGGAGTAAAAGAGAAGTTTGAATAGTAGAATGCTTAGGCCTGAGAAACTGGGCCCCCTGCCCTGGAATCCACTCTTTAGAGCCCTTCCTTCTCCCAACGGGCGAGAGTTCTGCAGTCCAAGGGGATTTGCCCACCTGGAGCACATACCCCTTCCTTCCAAACTAGACCATGCTTGAAGTATCTGGAACCCGGTATTTCTTTGCCCAAATCTGAAGCCAAGTCTTCCTCTTCTGTGGGTAATCAAGGGTGACCATGGGTCAGCTGGGGAAAGGGAAGGCACAGGGGAGGTCAGTGTGCAGAATGGAGTGTCCTGTTACATACATCTGAGGTTTCTTTAGGTGCCTTACAGAGCTGCAGGGTGGGGCACGAAGCGGGGCTCCATTTGTACATTTGCCCTTGGTCTTACAAATGTTAGGGGCAGACTTGGGTTCAGATCTGGAGTTAGAAGAGCTTCTTTGAGGTTTTAGTCTTGTCTTGGGGTGCCTGGCTCAGGTAGAGCATGAGGCTCTTGATCTCGGGGTCATGAATTCAAGCTCCACATTGGGCACAGAGCTTACTTAAATAAATAAATAAAAATAAAATTTAGGGGCACCTGGGTGGCTCAGTTGATTAAACATCCGACTTCGGCTCAGGTCACGATCTCACGGTTTGTGAGTTCAAGCCTGACATCGGGCTCTGTGCTGACAGCTTGGAGCCTGGAGCCTGCTTCAGATTCTGTATCTCCCTCTGTCTCTGCCCTTTCCCCCTTAGTGCTCTCTTTCTCTCAAAAATAAAATAAAATACATTTAAAAAAATAAATAAAGATTAAAAATTTTTTAAATATATAAATAAATAACACCTAAGTATTACATTATGAAACAAACACTAAGAAAGAGATAAATGATGCAGCTTTGTCATCATTACCTGTTTTTATAGATACATCTACAGTAAAACTTAGGTGGAAAGTACTATTCATTTGATTTATACTTTGGTTTTCAGAGATGGGTCACTTGGTATGTTGACATTGCATATGCTGTGGCTACTTTCTAATAAGAACCCTGCTTCCTTCCATTTAATGCTCTTTTTGAGTATGATTAGTAGTAACTAATATTTTTTGAACATTTACAGTGTGGTATTTGGTAGCACATACTTTATTTAATCTTCAGTCCTACAAGTTGGATGGTTTATCCCATTTTAACAGTCAAGGAAAGTGGTACATATGTATTACAAATTTTAAAGGACATTTTGTCAGCACTGATTCTTCCTTGTGTTCTGTTGATGTGGGTCTTATATCATTTCAACTGCTGCTTTTTCAAAAACTGATTGCTATTTTAGAAAGGAGGAAAGTATTTTTATTTTTTATTTTTTAATTTTTTTAAGTTTATTTATTTATTTTGAGAGAGAGAGAATGAGCAAAGGAGGGACAGAGGGAGGCGGGGACCGAGGATCCAAAGCAGGCTCCAAGCTGACAGAAGAGAGCCTGATGTGGGGCTCTGAAGTTACTGATGAAATCAGTAGAACATCTGATTATTAGAGGATAGCTGTGCTGTTTTACTGGTTTTTTGTATTATAATGGTAAAGTGATTTATGTATTACACTAAAGCAAATAAGTGAAAAAATTACATTTTCTTTTGATCCCATAGGACGTAGATGATTTCTTTGAGCATGAACGAACATTTCTTTTAGAATATCATAACCGAGTTAAGGATGCATCTGCTAAATCTGATAGGATGACAAGATCCCACAAAAGTAAGGTTTTTTTCTCTGTGGCTAAAGCTTACCTTTTTTTAATGGAATAATTATAAAGTTGTTATTTTATTTACAGTTTGTAAAAGTCTTGATATAGAACAGTGTTTCTCAAACTTTGGTCTGTGAAGCCTTGACCCTAGGGCTCTTTTTATTTTTAGCAAGTCTGTGAGGTAAAAACTATCTTCATAATAATCCATGATGCTTTTTGTATTTTTCACCATGTTGATATTTACACTGATAATGCAAAAGCCATGGTGGATAAAATTACTGATGCCTTAGCACAGACCAGGGCAGTAGCACCAAATTATGCTAATAGTCACTGTATTCTTTCTACAGTGCATTTGCAGTTAGAACAGATTTTTCAATTAAGGATGTCCTTGATGAAGCAGTAAAAATTATTAATTAATAAATCGCTTCCCTTGGGTTCACATTTTTTAATATCTGAATGATGGGAGGTATGTGTAAAGCACTTTGATTACATATGATGGTTCTCTCTAGAAAAGCATTTTAGTGATTGAGTTGCAACTAAACTAGTTGCTTTTTTCATAAAACCCCATTTTTACTTGAGAGAACAATGGACAAATGATGATTATTCATAGTTGAGTATTTGGTAGACATTTTCTTAAAAATTAAGTGACCCTGTCACTTTAAGGAAAACAACTGACAGTATTTGTTGACAATGATAAAAGTCAAGCTTTCCAGCAATAAGTAGAATTTTGGAAAACTTGTATCCATCCCCATGAGCTTGGTTCCCAATAATTAAAGACTGGTCTGAGGGAGGAGATTGATGGGAATATGTGAATTTTTGATACTGTTTATGTATACTGAAGTGCATCAACATTTGGAAGGTCTGCATCATTCATTGAACCGATATTTTCTAAATGACCAAATACATGATGTTACAAAATCACATATGTAAAAGATTCATTCAAAGTTCAAGATAGGCTAATGGGGTTTTTTAACATCTTTATTGAGGTAAAAATTGATATCAGTAAGCTGTAGTATTCAGAGTATACAATTTGATAAGTTTTGACATATGTGTAAAATCATCACTACAGCCAAGATAATTAATATATCTCTCACCTCCACAAGTTTCCTTATAGCCCTCTGTAATCCCTCCTTCTCACCCTGTCCCCAGGAAACCACCGATTTGCTTTTTGTCTCTGTAGATTAGTTTGCATTTTCTAGAATTTTATATAAATGGAATCATACTATATGTACTCTTTATTATTTGGCTTTGAAATTCAACAAAATTATTTTGAGATTCATTCATGTTGTGTGTATCGAGAGGTTATTCCTTTTTATTGCTGAGTATTCTATTGTATGGATATATCACAGTTGTTCATCCATTCAGCTATTGGTGGACATTTGGGTTGTTGTTAGCTTTTGGCTGTTATAAATAAAGCTGATGTGAACCATCTATATGTAAGTCTTTGTATGGACATGTGCTTCCGTTGCTCTTGGGTAATACCTGAAAGAGTGACCAGGTCATGCGGTAAGTGTATAATTAACTTTTTAAAAACTTTGGAAAAAACTGCCACTTTTTTCCCAAAATGATTGTACCATTTTATATTCCTACCAGCTGTACATGAGCGTTCCAGTTGCTCCACATCTTTTCCAACAAGGATACTCATTCTTTTTCATTTCAGCCATTCTCATAAGTCAGTAATGTCTCTGTGTAGTTTTAATTTTTAATTTGCATTTCCCTAATGACTAATGATGTTGAACATCCCTTACATAAATCTTCTAGCTTTTTTCTTCTTTACCAAAGTTGTTTTTGGCCCCTCTAGGTTCTTTACATTTTCATATGGATTTTATTTTTTTATTTAAATTTTACTTAGTTAATATACAGTGCAACATTGGTTTCAGGAGTAGAATTTAGTGATTCATTACTTACAATACTCCGTGTTTGTCACAAGTGCCCTCCTTAATTTCCATCACCCATCTAGCCCATGTCTTACCCACCTCCCTCTGTCTACTCTCTAT